GGTGAGTGTGGTGGTGATGGTGGTGGTGAGTGTGATGATGGTGATGGTGGTTATGATGGTGGTTGTGGTGATGGTAGTTGTGGTGGTGAGTGTGATGATGGTAAGTGTGATGGTTGTGGTGGTGAGTGTGGTGAGTGTGGTGGTGTGATGATGATGGTGGTGAGTGTGGTGAGTGTGGTGGTGAGTGTGATGATGATGATGGTGATGGTGGTGAGTGTGGTGGTGAGTGTGGTGGTGAGTGTGGTGAGTGTGATGATGATGGTGATGAGTGTGGTGGTAAGTGTGATGATGGTGATGATGGTGGCGAGTGTGATGATGATGATGGTAGTTGTGATGATGATTGTGATGATGATGGTGGTTGTGGTGATGATGATGGTGTGATGATGATGATGAGTGTGATGATGGTGATGATGGTTGTGATGGTAGTTGTGATGATGATGAGTGTGATGATGATGGTGATGATGATGAGTGTGATGATGGTGGTTGTGATGATGGTGATGATGATGGTTGTGATGATGATGATGAGTGTGATGATGGTGGTTGTGGTGATGGTGAGTGTGAGTGTGATGATGATGTTGACGATGATGGTGATGATGGTGATGATGATGGTGATGGTAGTTGTGATGATGATGATGGTGATGGTAGTTGTGATGATGGTGTGGTGATGGTTGTGATGATGGTGATGATGATGATGAGTGTGATGATGATGGTGATGATGATGGTGCTGGTAGTTGTGATGATGATGGTGGTTGTGATGATGATGGTGGTTGTGATGATGGTGATGATGATGAGTGTGATGATGATGATGGTAGTTGTGATGATGATGGTGGTTGTGATGATGATGAGTGTGATGATGGTGATGATGGTGGTTGTGGTGATGGTGAGTGTGAGTGTGATGATGGTGATGATGATGGTGTGATGAGTGTGATGATGATGGTGATGATGTTGATGATGAGTGTGATGATGATGATGGTTGTGACGATGATGATGGTGATGATGATGGTGTGATGATGATGGTGATGATGATGGTGTGATGAGTGTGATGATGATGATGATGTTGTCACTGTGTCCGCGTCTTCTTCTTCTTCTTCTGCATCTCGGCTTTCCGCTTTGCTCGTTTCACCTTCGCAGCGCCACGCACCTACACACACAACGCACACACATGTTACACACATGTTACACACATGTTACACACACGTGTTACACACATGTTACACACACACGTGTTACACACATGTTACACACACGTCACACACACATGTTACACATGTTACACACACGTGTTACACACATGTTACACACACGTGCTACACACACGTGTTACACACACACGTGTTACACACATGTTACACACACGTGTTACACACACGTGTTACACACACGCAACGCACACGTGTTACACACACGTGTTACACACATGTTACACACGTGTTACACACACGTGTTACACACGTTACACACATGTCACACACACGTGTTACACACACATGTTACACACACGTTACACACACACGTGTGTGTAACGTGTGTGTAACACACACACGTTACACACACGTTACACGTGTGTAACACACACACACGTTACACACACATGTAACGTGTTCCCCCCTCCTCACCGACAGAGGAACTCCTCCGCGTCTTCGCAACTCATTCTCCGCCCGGCGTCTCAGATTCTCATCCCGTCGCTGCTTCTTCTCCTGTGACACACACAGACACACACACATACACAGACACACAGTCACACACAGACACACACACACAATCACACACAGACACACACACACACAGACACACACACACATACACAGACACACAGACACACACACAGACACAGTCACACACACACACACACAGACAGACACACACACACACAGACACACACACACACACAGACACACACACAGACACACACACAGACACACACAGACACACACACACAGACACACACACACACAGACACACACACATACACAGACACACAGTCACACACAGTCACACACAGACACACACACACACACACAGACACACACACAGACACACACACAGACACACACACAGACACAGTCACACACAGACACACACAGACACACACACAGTCACACAAACACACACACACACAGTCACACACACAGTCACACACACAGTCACACACAGACACACACACACAGACACACACACACAGTCACACACACACAGTCACACACAGACACACACACACAGTCACACACACAGACACACAGTCACACACACAGTCACACACACAGACACACACACAGACACACACAGACACACACACACACACAGACACACACACACAGTCACACACACAGACACACACACAGACACACACAGACACACACACACACACAGACACACACACACAGTCACACACACAGACACGGGGAATCAGCAGCAACAAAAGACCCTGCAGGTGCCATGGCTTGTACTGCTGTGCCAGGCTAGGTGCACGAGCAGGAGCTCACGTGACAGACCCAGCAGGTGCCATGGGTTGTACTGCCGTGCCAGGCTAGGTGCACGAGCAGGAGGTCACGTCACAGACCCAGCAGGTGCCGTGGGTTGTACTGCCGTGCCAGGCTAGGTGCACGAGCAGGAGGTCACGGGACAGACCCTGCAGGTGGTGCCGTGGGTTGACTGCCGTGCCAGGCTAGGTGCACGAGCAGGAGGTCACGTGACAGACCCTGCAGGTGCCATGGGTTGACTGCCGTGCCAGGCTAGGTGCACGAGCAGGAGGTCACGTCACAGACCCTGCAGGTGGTGCCGTGGGTTGACTGCCGTGCCAGGCTAGGTGCAGGTCACGTGACAGACCCTGCAGGAGGTGCCGTGGGTTGTACTGCCGTGCCAGGCTAGGTGCACCGCACCTCTTTCTCCCTCTCCCGGGCGCTCCGCAGCTGCAGCTGCAGGCTCTGAGTGTCCTTCCGCTCCCTCCGCTTCTGTAACTTCGTCTCCCACGAGGTGCGAAGTGGTTTGTCTCGTACCAGGTCTGAGAACCTGCAGACACAAGCACAGAGACACAGAGACACACATAGACACACACACACAGACACAGAGAGAGACACATACACACACACAGAGACACGCACAGAGACTCACACAGAGACTCGCTCAGAGACTCGCACAGAGACACATACAGACACACACACAGAGACACACAGAGACTCGCTCAGAGACTCGCACAGAGACACACACAGAGACACATACAGACACACACACAGAGACTCACACAGAGACTCGCACAGAGACTCGCTCAGAGACTCGCACAGAGACACACACAGAGAGACACACAGAGACACGCACAGAGACACACACAGAGACACACACAGAGACACACACAGAGACACACAGAGACACACAGAGACACGCACAGAGACACACACAGAGACACGCACAGAGACACGCACAGAGACACACACAGAGAGACACACAGAGACACGCACAGAGACACGCACAGAGACACACACAGAGACACACACAGAGACACACACAGAGACACACAGAGACACACACAGAGACACACACAGAGACACGCACAGAGAGACACGCACAGAGAGACACGCACAGAGAGACACGCACAGAGAGACCCACACAGAGACACACACAGAGACACATAGACACTCGCACAGAGACTCACACAGAGACTCACACAGAGACACACACAGAGACACACACAGAGACACGCACAGAGACACACACAGAGACACACACAGAGACACACACAGAGACACACACAGAGAATCGCTCAGAGACTCGCACAGAGACTCGCACAGAGACTCGCACAGAGACTCACACAGAGACTCGCACAGAGACACACACAGAGACACTCACAGAGAGACACACAGAGACACACAGGGACACAGAGACACACACAGAGACACACACAGAGACACACACAGAGACTCGCTCAGAGACACGCACAGAGACTCACACAGAGAGACTCGCACAGAGACTCACACAGAGACACACACAGAGACACACACAGAGACACACACAGAGACACACACAGAGACACACACAGAGACTCGCACAGAGACACAGAGACACACACAGAGACACAGAGAGACTCGCACAGAGACACGCACAGAGACACACACAGAGACACACAGAGAGACACACACAGAGACACACACAGAGACTCACACAGAGACACAGACAGAGACACACACAGAGACTCGCACAGACACACATAGAGACACATAGACACACGCACAGAGAGACACAAAGAGACACGCACAGAGACACATAGACACACGCACAGAGACACGCTCAGAGACTCGCTCAGAGACTCGCACAGAGACTCACACAGAAACACACAGAGACTCACACACAGAGACACACAGAGACACACACAGAGACACAGAGACACACAGAGACACACACAGAGACACAGAGACACACACAGAGACACACACAGAGACACATAGACACACACACAGAGACACACACAGAGAGACACACAGAGACTCGCACAGAGACTCAGACAGAGACTCACACAGAGACACGCACAGAGACACACACAGAGACACACACAGAGACACAGAGACACACACAGAGACACACACAGAGACACACACAGAGACACGCACAGAGACACGCACAGAGACACATACAGAGACTCGCACAGAGACACGCACAGAGACACACAGAGACTAGCTCAGAGACACACACAGATACACGCACAGAGACACATAGACACACACACAGAGACACACAGAGACTCGCTCAGAGACTCGCACAGAGACACGCAGAGAGACACACACAGAGACACTCACAGAGACACATAGAGACACACACAGAGACACATATAGACACACACAGAGACATACACAGAGACTCGCACAGAGACACACAGAGACTCGCTCAGAGACTCACACAGAGACACACAGAGACTCACACAGAGACACACACAGAGACACACACAGAGACACACACAGAGACACACACAGAGACAGTCAAAGAGACACACACAGAGACACACACAGAGACACACACAGAGACACGCACAGAGACACACAGAGACACACAGAGAGACTCGCACAGAGACTCGCACAGACACACACAGAGACACGCACAGAGACACGCGCAGAGACACGCACAGAGACACGCACAGAGACAGGCATAGAGACACATAGACACACACACAGAGACACACACAGAGACACACAGAGACACACAGAGACTCGCACAGAGACACACAGAGAGACACACAGAGAGACTCGCACAGAGACACAAACAGAGACACACACAGAGACACGCACAGAGACACAAACAGAGACACACACAGAGACACGCACAGAGACACATAGACACACACACACAGACACACACAGAGACACATAGAGACACACACAGAGACATACAGAGACTCGCACAGAGACACACACAGACACACAGAGACACACACAGAGACACACAGAGACACGCACAGAGACACACGCAGATACTCGCACAGAGACACACACAGAGACACACAGAGAAACACACACCGAGAAACACACAGAGACACACAGAGAGACACACAGAGACACACAGAGAGACTCGCACAGAGACACACACAGAGACACGCACAGAGACTCACACAGACACACAGAGACACACAGAGACACACAGAGACACACACAGAGACACACACAGAGACACACAGAGACACACAGAGACTCGCACAGAGACACACACAGAGACACACACAGAGACACACAGAGAGACACACACAGAGACACACAGAGACTCGCACAGAGACACACACAGAGACACACACAGAGACACACACAGAGACTCGCACAGAGACACACACAGAGACTCGCACAGAGACACACACAGAGACACACACAGAGACACACACAGAGACTCGCACAGAGACACACACAGAGACTCGCACAGAGACGCACACAGAGACACGCACAGAGACACACACAGAGCCTCACACAGAGACTCACACACAGAGACACACACAGGCACACACAGAGACACAGAGACACACACACACAGACTCACAGAGACACACACAGGCACACACAGAGACTCGCACAGAGAGACACACAGAGACACATAGAGACACACAGAGACTCACAGAGACACGCACACAGAGACTCACAGAGACACACACAGAGACACATAGAGACACACACAGAGACACACAGAGACTCACACAGAGACTCACACAGAGACACACACAGAGACACACAGAGAGACTCGCACAGAGACTCACACAGAGACACACACAGAGACACACACAGAGACTCGCACAGAGACACGCACAGAGACACACAGAGACTCACACAGAGACTCACACAGAGAGACACACACAGACACACACAAACACAGACACATAGAGACACACACACAGACTCGCACAGAGACACACACACACAGACTCACACAGACTCACAGAGACACAGAGAGACTCGCACAGAGACTCACACAGAGACACGCACAGAGACACACACAGAGACTCACACAGAGACACACACACAGAGACACAGAGACACACAGAGACTCGCACAGAGACACACACAGAGACACACAGAGACACACATAGAGACAAGCACAGAGACACACACAAAGACACAAAGAATCACAGAGACTCACAGATACACGCACAGAGCCACACACAAAGACTCACACAGAGAAACACACACAGACACACACAGAGACACACACACAGAGACTCGCACAGAGACACAGAGACACACACACAGAGACACATAGAGACACACACAGAGACACACACAGACACACACACAGAGACTCACACAGACTCACACAGAGACACACACAGAGACACATAGAGACACACACACAGACTCGCACAGAGACACACACACAGAGACTCAGACAGAGACACACACACAGAGACACAGAGACACACAGAGACTCGCACAGAGAGACACACAGAGACTCGCACAGAGACACACACAGAGACACATAGAGGCTCGCACAGAGACACACATAGAGACTCGCAAAGAGACACACACAGAGACTCACACAGAGACACACAGAGAGACACACAGAGAGACAAACAGAGACACACACAGAGACACACACACAGAGACACAGAGACACACAGACTCGCACAGAGAGACACGCACAGAGACACGCACAGAGACACACACAGAGACACAGAGACACACAGAGACTCGCACAGAGACACACACACAGAGACTCACAGAGACTCACACAGAGAGACACACAAAGACACACAGAGAGACACACACAGAGACACACACAGAGACACGCACAGAGACACACACAGAGACACACACAGAGACACACAGAGACACGCACAGAGACACACACAGAGACACACACAGAGATACGCACAGAGACACACAGAGACTCGCACAGAGACACACACAGAGACTCACAGAGACACAAACAGAGACACAGAGACTCGCGCAGACTCACAGATACACACACAGAGACACAGAGACACACACAGAGACTCGCACAGAGACTCGCACAGAGAGACACACAGACTCGCACAGAGACAACAACAACAACCGCCATTCGCCACTAAGTGGCGGTGACGTCACCACGACGCTTGTGCCAGGCTATGTGCACCCTGAGGCCACGTGAAGTGTCGAACGCCCGCTGGCAGGTCACGGGGCAGACCCAGGTGCCACGGGTCGACTGACTGAGATGACTGAGATGACTGGTTGATGCACCACCTGTGCCCCCTACTGTGCCAACCTGCTGTGCTTCAGCCACCCGGCGCTCCGCTCGTTGTTCTGAGCGTCGCTCCTCCGCCCTCCGTTGTTGTTGGAGGGCGACTGCCTCCACCTGCCCAGTAGCAGCGTCCTTCACGAGCCTCCTCCACAGAGGCCGATCTTGACACCGCTGGTACCAGTCATCGGCAAGTCCACTCAGCTCCACGTCCTCCTGTACCACATCACTCCATCTCTTCTCTAGCCCGTGCCGCGCCCGTTTAGCCCCCTCAATCCGGCCGAGCAAAAGCTGTTTCGGCATGCGGTTGCTGGGCATGCGGGCTACATGAC